AATAATAATAATAATAATAATAATAATAATAATAATAATAATAATAAATAATAATAATATCTGGATTTCAAGGTGGACATGACATGTGGACATGTCATACATACATTACAACCACCATGTTACTGAGCAAGACCTTCCGCAGAGGGTGGAAAGAAACCTTGGAAAATCCAATAGCACAATTGCTATCACAGCAGACAACAATGTGCGAGCTGGAATGAGCCAGGAAAAACTATGTTCAGCTCAAAGAAAAAAAAATGAGTAGAAGACTGAGGCAAGGAGTAGATAGCAAGACTGTTCCTGCACTACAAGTGGAGTTGTGTCCCTTTTGTAGTTAACTATTAGGGAATAATAAGTACAGGGTCACTCCATACACAGGTAAGAGGGTTAAATTTCTTCTGTGTGTCTTCCATTCCAAATTCTTTTTCTCCTTTTCTTTCCAAAAGAAGGCATCATTGTTTGACATTGGTAGAGGTAATTTATGTGGCTTTAAAAAAGTGAAGATGGGAAGGACATTTCCCCCCCCCCCCAAAAAAAAAAAAAAAACCATAAGGAGCTCACACAACAGATTATATTTTTACCTTTCCATGTACTATGGTCACAGTCTAGATATGGAAATAGATATTGTGTCTTCATGTCAGTATTGACTCCTGGACAAGCCCCTGAAGTTTTCAGCGGGCTGGCTGGTGCCTTAACTACTACTCTTAGCTGGCTCTCTATTATATATTTATAATTAAGTAAATAAGTAAATAAGACAAGAAACTGGGGGATGACATAACTTATAATGATCTTGTTTAGTCTTAGCTGAAAGCAAAATGCAACAGTCTCATATTTCAGTTCTGTCACATGAAGCTTTTATTAAGACATAATTTTTTTAAAAAATCCACACTCCCTAGAATGGAAAACTGAGAGATTAGACACAACGTGAAAATAACTTAATCACTAGGTATTTAATTTGTTAAAAAATTCCATTTTTAAAACCTGCATTTTCAATTTGTAAACCATTGCACTAGTGAGTCACCTACCCTGCTAGCCATCAGTATAGAGATGCTAGGAGATTCCAAACTGCTTTTGAGCTTGACCTTTACAAAAATGGCAGCCACCTTTTTTGACTTCTTTTTAGTTCCTTATTTACCAGTTCTTTATAAGCTTCTGACTTCAGAAACCGCGGGAATGAATCTTTGACCATGAGGTTATAGATTAATTTTTGAGCATCATCAAAACAGTTGAGAGTTGGTTTCGAAATAGCCTGCATGATGCGGTCTCTGGTATTGAAGTCAATGTTTATCTGCAGGAAATACAATTGTTTATTCTACTGAATATATGAAATGTTGTCTGGGAGCCAAAAGCAAATAAAATTTGAATCGTATCCCCAAATGCACTCTTTGATGCAAAGCGGCAGGAAGGCTTTTGTTACTAAAATATTGAATACTAATTTTAATTTAGTTTTCTACTCTCCAAAGCCGTTTATCATAATAATAACAATATCAAAACAGCAACAGGTTTTCTGGTAAATAAGATGATGAGCACTCCAAAAATTTTATACTCAGTATGTATGTATTGGTGTCATTCTTTTCTCACCTGGCTAACATTTGATTATTTGATCAGTGTGTATGTATACATTTAAGATAATTAAAAAATAATCCCAACCTTCCAATATAGAAAGCTATAGGAATTACATTTTCCCGTGTTCAGTAGAACCATAAGTTCTTTCTCTTTTTTAAAGAAAGCTTTCATTCCTACTCCAATTAAAGCTTGATCTGATAGCTACAGCCTTCTCTTTGTCATTCTACCTATTTAATCATTGAACTTTTATGAACATTAAAATTCTAAGCATGAATCCGATAATTTTAGTATTTTGTTTCCAAATCAAACGTGAAAGTTCACAAAAGGAAGCAAAAATGAGACCATTTGATTGAATCAGCTTACTGTCATCATAGGATAATTGGTTGAATTGTACCCAACTGTCAACAGACCTAAGTCATGTATAAAAAAATGGGAAACCAGGCTGAACAGCATGTTTTTAAACAGAAAATCAAATGAAACTGGCTCTACTTGTTTAACTATTTTATTCCCTTGTATCCATCAGTAAAATAATCAGAGACAAACTGACCACTAAACTAGAAGTCAAAGCCAAGAAAGGTAGGAAGAACTATTAATGAATGATTTTTGGAACAGGATAACTTACAGTAGTGACACAAGATAGAAATAACTTTGATTTATGCAATATATGCTAGACATCTAAAACTAGTAATAATATTGTTTTTAGGCTGTTAGCTGAACTGAATTGTATTTCCTTTTGTTGTTCTATTCCAAGATGATAAGCATGGTTTGCTTGCCTCAGCCCTTGTTACTCGTGAACGTTCTGCTTTTGAATATTTTAATTTTCTCATTGTCTTCTGCCGCAAAGGCCTGCCAATGCATTTTTCCCTCTGGACTATTGGAAAATGTTATAGTGTGGCACTTACACATGGTCTGATTCATCAACTTGGCATCTACCAAATGTTTGAATTATAATTATCACAATCCCTGACCAATTTTAATATAATATATCACAGAAGAGGGATGTGAAGGCCTTTTCCCCTGGACCCTGGGGATTCTGAACATTGTCATCAAAGACAGATGTAGGATAGTTAATAGTGTATTATTTGATTAGACAATACTGGGCTAAAACAAACAATAATCTAACATAGTGTAAAATGGGTTTATTAGATTGTTTTCAATGATAATTTGTTCTCTGGGAACAATGTCTGAATTTCAGTTGTATGGAACACAACCAATATTATGCTCTGTGCAATGTTTTTCTTTTTTTTTACATTTCAACTTTTTTTCCCATTAGAGTGACATCTAATTTTGGTTAATCATGCTGAAGATTGTGGGCCAAAATTCATCCTGTAAGAGGTTCCAAAGTTTTTAATCTATGCATATATGTCAGTGGTGGGATTCAAACATTTTTACTACCAGTTCTGTGGGCATGGCTAGGTGGGCATGGTGTGGCTTGGTGGGCGTGGTAAAGGAAGGTTACTGCAAAATCTCCATTCCCTCTCCACCCCACTAATCTGCTTTCCAGCTCCATTCTCCTGTGCAGGGCAACAAAAGAAGACCCAGCCGATCAGCTGGGATTCAGGAGGCAGAGTATAGATGGGGTAGACCAGTCAGAGGTGGGATTTGCCAGTTCTCCGAACTACTCAAAATTTCTGCTACTGGTTCTCCAGAACTGGTCAGAACCTGCTGAATACCACCTCTGATGTATGTTATCATTCCCAAATCCTGTATCATAGTAAATCCTCAAAGTTAATGCCACAGAAGTCCAGTTACTGCTAGGCAACCATGGTTACTTCCATCCTCAAATCAGACTTGAACCCAGGTTGGAAACCTGTTTTTATCAAAGGGAGTCTGGAATACTAATTTAACCATCTGCTCCAGGGCCTTTCTCAAAAGGGAGATTAAAAAACAGAAAATAATTATCTAAGGGACATACCCAAGTCAGTCTTTTTACAGAAAAGCCTTATGGATGCTTCCTCTAGAAGAGTTGGAAGATACTTCTACTTTGCTGACCCACTTGCTGAACAGCTTCTGGTAGCTCTTATAAATCTGAACAGCCATTCATCCAAAAAGAATACACTCATAATCCTTATTTTTATTTTTAGGTTGAATTAAGAGAAATCATCCATCAATATATGTGGACAGCCACAACAAGTGGCTTCTTTGATCATCTCACCATTTGGGGTATGAGATGAGCAACATGATCATAATAATGCATAAAAATAAAATGTATATATCCAAACTGATATATTCATTTTTTTTTCTTTTGTAAGGAGTAATCAATGTTTTAAAGCATCCATAACTGGGTTACCTCCTGTGGTGCATCAGCTTGGATAAATTCAGAGTAAATCCTTTGGGCTTTTGAAGCAATTTTAGCAGCTGACTTTGTTTTCTTTAAGTCCTCACAAGCGAGCCAAAATTCAATATTTTCTTCACTGAATTCTGATTTCAGGAAAGTTCTAAATGCATCCAGGCCATCTGAAAACCAGAAAAAGAATGGGGAAACATAAACAACTTCTTAGTGTGAAGATCATGAAATACACTGAAGACTATAAGAATAATTTCATTGGCTTTTACTGGAGGAGAACCAATGATTCCTTTTTATAGATATGAGCCAGTCATGTCAGAACACGGCATTTAACTTGTGTCCATTCTGGTGAGTGATTAATAAGTTAGTGGCCTTTTTATTGGCCATTCTGGAGGGTGAATTTTACCATTTGGACCAAGAGCCTCAAACTCAACCATCAAGAATATTCTATATGGATTCGTTCATTAAGCCAGAGGCCAGATAACTACTAAAGCTTTTTTCATTCACTGATACATAAATTATTCTAAATTCTATCAGTCACAACCAGTCTGCCAAAGTATGAGGGATGTTGGGTGCTGTAGCTCAGCACAATTAGAAGGGCCATAGTCTGCCTGCTGCAGACAGACCAGTTTTCAAAGGGATTTTTAACATATTCATATCTCTCTCTGTCTCTCTGTCTCTCTGTCTCTGTCTTTGTCTGTCTGTCTGTCTGTCTGTCTGTCTGTCTCCCCCTTTCTCTCTGTCTCTCTGTCTCTCTCTCTGTTTCTCCCTCTTGCACACGCACAGGCACACACACACACACACACACACACACACACCTCTTTTGATCAAAGTTCCAAACTTTTTGTTAAATAAAATAGTTAGGAACCTTGAACCAGCCTTGACTCCTGATGGCTATATGAAGAAGTCCATGTAGTTTGCATGGCAAAAATTTCCAAAGTTATTCAATACTTGCTTGTTCCTAAAAATGAGAAGGAGAAAGAGATGTACAGTCACCCAACTGGCTTTTCTACCTCGGGCCGGACTAAAATTCAGGTTTCCTCACATTTTGGACCAAAGTGGCTTTCACAAACCTACTGGGAGTAACTACTGGGAATAACTGTGGAACACATACAATATATCTTGAATTCCACAGTTGCCCCGAATCTTGAACACATACAATATATCTTGAATTCCACAGTTGCCCCATGAAAGCCTGTTTTGATCTCATGTCGATCCCCTATACCTATGCCTTTGCTTACTTTGTTTTGTTTTTAATTCGATGTTAACTTCCCAGAGTAACATACTGATACAAGTATTTCAAACTGACAATTCTTCACTGTCTATTTACACCCTACTATCCTTGTGTGATCAATGAACCAGGTGCTGAAGAGTCAACAGCCTTGAATCTAGACCTCCTGTATATAATTTGGGAAGTTACTGCAGGGCTATCCAGAGAATTTCAGAAGATTTCTACTTCCTTATTTAATCCAAGTGAGATTTGAAATGAGTTGTTAGTTCTGCTTTAGAACATTTGTTTTTTCTTTGATCAGTCAGCTCAGCAATTTTTGACTTGGTGATATTGCATCAGCAATTTGAGCTAACTGTGGTATGCAAAATAATCCATCCACATTCTTTGGGGCTGAAGGCTTTTTCTCTAGGTATAATCTGAATTGGGTATTGTAGTTCCTTTATTAGGATTTATTTTTATGACAGGAAATATTAGTATATGACAGGAAATATTAGTATATATTTTTGAAGCTCTTGTGGAGTTTTTTGTGGTATCTCATAAGTTTTGTTTTTGTATAATTAAAAAACAATGTTGTACTCCAGGGGTCCCCAACCACCATTTCTACCCAGAAAAGCTCACCGGAAGCGCTGGCGCCGCCATCTTTTTTTGATGAAAACGTGCTCCCGGTGAGGTCACCGGAAGCACTTTTTCATCAAAAAAAGATGGCGGCGCCCAGCTGATGCCGGTACCGGGCCGCGGCACCCAGCTGATGCCGGTACCGGGCCACGGCGTCAAAAAGGTTGGGGATCACTGTTGTACTCTATAAAGTTTTGGTCTGTAAAGTGGCATTAATTAAGCCTATGTGGGCTTGCTGATTATTAATATTAGGGAGGAGGAGGAGTGGTGTAGATCAGGTTTGGGAATATATATAGCTCCTTGGATTTCTTGAGACAAAAAAATAGAAATATGACAAAACATATATTGAGTGGAGTGGAATGGAATGGAATGGAATAGAATAGAATAATCTTACCTTTGTTAGACAAAAGTGTATCCATAGATTCCATCCATGACATTCTTTCCCTAGGGGATGATCTGTAGAAACAATATTTGCTCTTGAAATTATCATTGTGAACATGTGGCATTTTGCTTCAGTTATTTCCTCACAGCTCATGGAATCTAAATTAAGATACTGCTCTTGCCTCTTTTATCTTTCTTGTTTTTTTCACCTTCATGCAATATACTTCAATAAGACAAGAAGAACTAGAGCACAGTGTTAAAGATGTGGATGCTCCATTGGATTTTCACTGGATTTCCTTTTTATTTTGACATCAACAAGGCTGCTTAATTCCTCTTTCTTTGCTTCCTCCTGAACACCCCAATAGTATTTAGTTATAATTAGTTAGCTGTATTTATTAATTATAAGGATTCTCCAGTGCAGGTCTGCAAGGAAGTTTTAATTAAGTATATAACGTCTCAATAAAACACACGTTTGCCACCATGGAAGAATGGTTGGTCAAGTTGACAAAGTTAGCTGAGATGGACAAACTGACTTCTTTGATTAGAGAAAGGAAAACGTTAACTTTTATTGGTGTTTGGAATCCACTTACGAACTTTTTGTGTATTTTTTTTTTTTAAATGTGATATATGGTTTGACAATTAAACAGGATAGAAATATTGACAGAAAGACGGAAAGAAGAAAGTCATGATGTAACTTTACAGAGAAAGAGGTTAAAATATATATGTACTTCTAACTTTCTAACTACTATGAAGAATACTACTTCTGTGCATTTTCATCTATTTCTTTATATTTTTCTTTTTTCTATTTTGTTTTCTTAGCTTGCTTTTAATTTTCTCTATTATTTTTCTATTTTTCATTGTTTCTGTACTTATTTAGTTTGCATTGATTCTTATTATTGCTTTTAGTGAATTTTTTTTCCACATGCTGATTTACCTTGGAATAAAGCCTATTAAACACATTAAATTGGATATATATTTGGATAGGCATGGATTCCCTAACCTTAGAAGAAAAAAGAAAGAAAAAATGTAGTGTTTGTGCCATGTGAAATGATTGCACAAATTAATGCATCATGTAATTTAATATAATATCCAGATTACCTATTCAGGAGAGAGTCTTGTTAGCTGATCAAAAGGAAAAAATAGAAGGAAAGGTATTAGAGATGTTTCAGCACAGAATTGCTCTATGGCTTCTTGACACTGAGTGGGTGCAGTCATTCATTCATATGATTCTTTTGCTACTGAGAAGTAGAGCTGTCAAAAAGGTTATTGTGCTAACATTGGGTAATAAATAGGCTTTGTCTTAATCCCTTACATATACTGCTTTAAAAAATAGGCTTTCCAGTTCTGGTTCTCAACAAGACTTTGATTAAATGTTTGTTAAAAGGCAGTAACAGAATCTGTCTCTGCTAAAATCTAGTTTAGTTTCCTCTCTGTGTCAGAAAAAAAGAAAAACTTGTCTTCTTATCCCAGCTCCAAGAATCTAATTAGTTCAATATATTCCAGCTCAGGTCAGATTTATCTAAATCTAGGATCTTGTCAGGGCAAAATAAGATCTTTTCCAAGCTGGTTAATAATTTCAAGTGCTTTTTTCTTCTTCAAATAAGCAGTCCTTGAGCTTTGATATATGTACCACCAGCTGCAGACAGAGAATTTCCAAGAATCTGAAGAATTATTCAGAATCCCACTGATACCTACAACACATTCATTACAGGAGAATTTGTCCATGCAGTGTTTCCAAGGAAGAGCTGTTAATCTATTTCAATGTCTACTACAATAGTTCAGCTATCTATTTTTTTAAGTAGCCTATTCCCTAGGAAGCAATGTTTATTATGAATAGGTCCCTGAACTTCTTAGAAGACAGCAGACCAAAGGGCAATGTGAAGATCACTCTTGCATTAGAACAAAATACGTTTTGACTTGCCCTATCTCCTCGAATGGTAAGGCATATTCAAAAAACATGATAATCCCAATACACCAGAATACAAGCTTGACTCAACCTTCCATCCTCCTGAGATTGGTAAAATGAGAACCTAGATTGTTGAAAGCAATATGCTGACTCAGTAAATTGCTTTGGGTGGGCTGTAAAGCACTATGAAGCAGTATGTAAGTCTAAATGCTATTGCTATTTTAGTCTTTTACAGAGGGTCATTTTCAGTGATGACCCTTTCAAGTGAAGAAAAATTAAGAAAGAATTGCAGTTTGTTTAGATGATTACTGAGGAGATAAGAATTTCACATTATATACTGTACAGCATCTCCTTTCCTAAAAAAATTTTCTTTCAAGAAAAGAAAAAAACTTTAAAAAAATAACTCACTTTATTGGCATGTTTTACTGTGCCACTCATCACAGGTACAGTAGCTTTTGCTTTCTGGTTAATTCTGTGCGAGATAGATAATGTGAGAGGAAGAGTATCATAATTAGCACACCTATAATTAAACAATAGTTTTCAGACTGGTATTTAACATCTACACTGTTTCTAAAATAATATTTTCTTAATCATAGACATAACAATAACAAATTATTTGATGCAATAGAGGTAGATTATTTTAGATGGACTTGGATATTAACAAGATTCAAAGGAGAGTAGTGATTATCTTGTCTAATAATCAGAACAAACGAAGACATTCACATAATATTTTAGAGTGAAGAAAATGAAGATTTGAAAATACTTAAGGAAGAAAAAAGCAGGAAATTAAATCATAAACCAAAGGAAAATAAAAGTGTATTGAAGATTTTATACATTTTGCCTCTAGTTTTTTTAATGCAATACCCCCAAAAGAGCAATCTCCACAGGAAGTGGTTTGAATCATATACTTCATAGTCAGTGGCCAAGCAGAAAATGCAATTGGTAGCATTGTTAGGGTGAAACTTTGTGGCCAAAATCTAGGGTTCCACTTTATACTGTTATATAAAATGCTCCATGCCATGTTTGCAGTTTTAAAA